CAAGGCTCAGGGCGGCTGCGTGAGCGCATGCCTGGGTGTGTGTGAGTGTGAGTGTGTGTGAGCGTGCGAGGCTGCGTGGCTTCTCCCACCATCTCTCCTCCCATCTAAATCCGTCTTACTATATTTCCGGCTCTTTCTGTCTGTCTGCCTTCCTCCCTGCTTCCCTGGTTCTCACCTTGTCTCCAGCTTCCACTCTCACTGTCCTGCTCGGCCCATCTTAGTCTTTGGCTCTTGCTGGATTGGCTAGGGTTTCTTTGCTGGCGGCTTCAGAGGAGAGATGGGACTTTCCTCTTCTCAGTGCCCCCAGCTTCAGCCCTGGTCCCTTTCCTGCTCCATCTGGGTGGGCCTCAGGGACTGATTCTTAGAGAAAGCCCATTTTCTGGAAGAAAACGATGCATGGGGCCGGCACTATGGTGTAGCACAATAAGCCGCTGCCTACGACGCCAGCATCTGATATGGGTCCTGGTTCTTGTTCAGACTGCTCCACTTCTGACCCAGCTCCCTGCTAATGGAAAGCAGCAGAGGATGGTCAAGGTGTACCCACTTGGGAGACCTGGAAGAAGCTCCTGGCCTCTGGGTTTTTGTGGCCAGGAGGCCAGGCACTTGCAGTCATTTTGGGGAGTGAACCAGAATATAAAAGCTCTCTCTCTTTCTCTGTGTCTCTTCCTCCTTCTCTGTAACTTTGCCTTTCAAAGAAATAAGTATCTAAAGAGAAGAACAATGCTACAGCTGCCCCTGCCCTTTGTGCCATGCTCTTGGGGGTGGGGGGGAGTAGGGAATCCGGGGCTCTAGGAGGACAGAGTGAGTAGCCCCCGCCTCCATCACTGTCTCAGGCTCGGCCTTCTTGCCCTAGTGTTCATTTGTGGGCAAATGAGCATTTTCAAAGCAGGCCTCTTCTGCCTCTCCAGGATTTTGGTCTCTGCTCCCAAATTTGATGTCTCCACCACAGACTGAGCCTAACTGTGGCCTTGGGCTGACCCCAGATCTGGCCTTACAGTGACCTGGACCATGGCCATGTATTGATCCTTAATTCTGACCTCAGACGGACCCTGATCCCTAATCCTGAACTTGCCCTTCCCTGAGGGACTGCCTCCTTTGGTTTCTGTCAGTTGCTGCCAGGTACCCACAGCTCACGGCTCTCTTTCTGATGCCCGGTGCAAGTGGTATACCCCTCGATCTGCTTAGAGTGTGAGGTGCGGAAGGAGAAACAGGAGTGATTTTTTTTTAAACTCCCAGGTGACTGCAGTCTTGAGCCCACCCTCTTCTTGTGGGCTTTCCTGCAGGGATCCCAAGGGGGCCGGCTCACACAGGGGTGCCTGGGCTGGGTGGGGGCCACATGCAGGGGCCTGACTCCCAGCCCCCTGAAATGCATCACTATAGTTCTCCCATTCATTCATTCATTCATCAAACCCTCAACAGCTGGGTCTGGTTAAAGGCTGTGGAACACACAGAGTGTCTTGAAGCCCAGGCTTTAGATCTCTGGAATCAAGCTGGGGTTGGCAGGGGCAGGAGCCCCCCTGCCATTGTAAGCTTCATTCATATTTCTGCAGCTCCAAGCGCAGGGGCCCAGGGCCCTCTCCTTCTTCGCCCTGGCCTTGGTGCTGAGGGAGGGAGAAGGAGGCCTGGAGCCTTCAGGGTCAGTTGGGGATGGGGTCAAGAGGTGCATTGCCTATAAGGCCATCCTCTATGGGAAGAATCCCAGAGCCCAGCTCCCTGGGCTGAGACACTGGGAGGCATGGAAAGGAGAGCGTCCTGGGGCAGCCATCCTGCGGGGGTGGTAGGAGCTGCTGGCATCTCTAGGCTTAGCCAGCAATGGCCTCGGCTCCGGCCTGGGTGTGGAACTCGTCTCGTACGTGTATTCATGGCACAGATAAAGGACAGGACTGCGCATGGGGGAGCACGCCCGAGCGGCCCAGTCCCAGCTGCTCACGCTCACGGGTGGAGGTGGCACAGCTCCCTGGGGTGGGCCTGGAATATTCCCCTCACTGACCGTTCCTTACAGGCCAGCTGCTGGCTCCTAGCTCAGAGCTGTCAAACACAAACCCAGAAAACTGCCCCGCTCTTTCACACTGAAGACAAAGAGAAGCCTTGTTTGTCTTTTGGCTAATCTGTGCCTCTGCTCACCCGGCAGCTGGGCTCTGTGCATGTGTAGGCATGTATATGCATGTGTGCTCACGTGTGTTCACATGTGTGGTGGCCAAGGCTGTGGAGCATCACTTTCCCCAGGAGGACTACCCATCTGTGTTCCCAGTGTGCACTGCGAGGTGGCTGGCACAAAAGCTGCCCTGCCCTGTGGGTGGGGAGACCTGGGCAGGCTGAGTCCAGGGCTGAAGTGGGGACTGTGAAATCCCTGTGATCAGAGATTGTGGGTCATCGAGGAGTCTGGGGGCCTGCCCTTTCTGACCTCCCCAGTTCCCTGGGGGCCTGAGCCCAGAATCCTGAACTGCATGGGAGAGCGGGCCAAGAGCTGGCTTCTAAGGCTCTTCGATCCTGGCAGAGAAGACAAACGGCAGTAGGCAGTAGTGGGAGGGCCTCGCCCCCTCGTGGGCGCAGGTGGTACTTCTGAATAAGGCCAGGCGGCCAGCCTGGATGAGAGCAGAACCACCGTGCTGGGCCGGCCATCAGGGGCAGGGCTGGCACTGGGAGCAAGGAGCCGGGGAGGTCCCCCACCCTCACCCGCCACAGCAGGAGGGCGACTCAGGCTGGCCCCTGTGCTTTGACTGCATCTGGAACGACTCCGAGGAAGGTATGCAGGAAAGAAGCTTGCTCTATGGACATAGAAGCTGGGAGGGTGGGGGAGACCTACCAAGACCCCCAGCATCTCCATCAGAGACGGAAGTGGGACTGAGGATTCCTGACTCCAGAGCTCATCCATTTTCCTGTGCGTGCACGACAGTGTTGAGCCCAAACCCCCACACCCCCGAGGAGGCCTGGATCAGCGGCAGTGCAGCAGCGTTCCTGATTTAGGGCTGCAGAGAGACCAAGTGGCTTGCAAGCAGGGCCCTGGGAAAGCAGTAAACGCTGTTGGCACCTGTGTGGGCACTTCCTGCAGTGCCAGCGCTGTGCTGGACATCCACAAACCTCAGGTCACTGAAGACTCTCAGTGTCCCTTTGAGAGAGGCAGTGTCTTCATTAAAAAAATATATATATTTATTTATTTGAAAGAGTTACACAGGGAGAGAAGGAGAGGCAGAGAAAGAAGGGGAGAGGGGGAGAGAGAGAGAGAGAGAGAGAGAGAGAGAGAGAGAGAGAGAGAGAGAGAGAAAGTCTTCCATCCACTAGCTCACTCAGCTGGCCACAAGGGTCAGAGCTGCGCCAATCTGAAGCCAGGAGCCAGGAGCTTCTTCCGGGTCTCTCACGCAGGTGCAGTGGCCCAAGGACTTGGGGCATCTTCTACTGCTTTCCCAGGCCACAGCAGAGAGCTGGATTGGAAGTGGAGCAGTTGGGACTTGAAGTGGTGCCCAAATGGGATGCTGGCACTGCAGATGGCGCTTTACTTGCTATGCCACAGGACTGGCCCTTTCCATTTTTAGAGAAGAAAACTGAGGCACAGAGCAGCAGCTTGTCCTGGATTGCTAGCTGCTAAGTGGCATAGCAAGGATCTGAATCCAGCAATTTTGACTCTGGGCGAGGTAATCCCATTGGGGTACTCCCAGTTCCACACCAGGACCTGCCACCCTGCACTCCAGCCTTCGCAGTTGCCAGGGATTCTCAAGAGGTACGGCCTTGGAGCGCCCTCTGCTGTCCACAAGGAGAACCAGCGTTCCCTTCTGCACTAGCAGATGCAAGGCAAAGTCTTGGTATTATCAGGCAGGGTACTCCCTCCCTCCTAAACAGGGGCCAGTGGCAGGCTATATAGCACCACCATGCAGCCACAGCCTGCCCGCATCGACAGACTTACAGAAGCATCAGGGTGGTTGTACCCAATTTTTCAGGGCTTCCTTCTCTTGGCACCTTCCCCAAAGGCAGGCAGGTCCTAGACCCACCCCATTGAGGATGAGTACCTTGGGCTGATGGACATTGCCCAAAGGCCCATAACAAGAGCAAGGGTCGACCCAGGGCTTTGCTCTGGTGAAGTGGCATAGAACTGGGATTGGAGATGCCCTATGAGTGACGGCTGTGTGTGTGTGGGGTCAGATGAGAAGGATGACTGTGTTTCAGACAGGTGGCAGTGAGGAAAGGGCAGTATCTAGCAGGGGCACAGTGGGCAAGAGTACAGAACAGGTATCTGGGCCTGTCAGTGCTGGGCAGTGCTGCTGGCACCTGTCAGGCAGGGCTTGGTAAGAGGCTCACAGCCCCAGGACAACTTCCTGGGAAAGAAGGGCAGGGCTGGGAATTTGTGTTCGTTGCCTCCGGAACACGCATGGGCCCAGTGGCCCAGGGAGTGAGTCCCAGTCCAGTATCAGAGGTGGAAGGACAGTCTGCAATTTATTCTGTCTTTATCAGGGACACAGACTCTCAGCTGGGGCGCGGGGGGGGGGGGGGTGCATTCTGGAGGAAGGAGGAGGCATCAGGATGAGGACATGAGGTTCCGGATGGGTCCTGTTACCCTGAGCAGGGGCAGCCACATGGGTGGGAACCTGCACCATCTTCCCTCCTCGTGCGCCATCTGTGAATCTACTCAGGGCCTCCTTTTTGACACCAGATCACTCCCCATGGACTAGCCATGGGCGGGAGCCCCTACTTCTTCCATTTAGTGTTTCTGTTTCTTTTCCTGTTCTATCCCTAAAATTCTCTTCTTGGGGACGGAAACGCCAACATGCATCCCCTCTCCCTGAAGTCTCCTGCAGGAGCTTCCTGAACACAACACAGCCTCCTGACAGCTGATAACAGCAGCCACGCCGAGGGCCTCCCAGCTGGCCCTGTCCGCGAGCAGGACGGGAGGCACGAGGGCTTATCTGTGAAGGCAGGGGTGCAGGGCAGTGTGGCAGGACAGGGGAAGCCTGGCTGTGCCTGCTCCGTGTGGAGGCATAAAGGCCCAGGAAGCCCAGGACATGGGCTCATTTATCGTAGAAGTCCACGTGGGCTCCAGACTTGAAGGTGTCTTTTTGCAGCAGGCTGAGCAGCTTCTGGGCTGACTCCTTGCAGTCCACGAGTTCCCCCCTTGCCTTCAGCTCCTGCAGCCTCTTTCGCAAGTCTGGGTCCACGGAGGTCTCCCGGGCCAACTGCTGCATGTCCGTGTCCAGCGGGCCTAGGGGACGAAACACGATGAGGGGACACAGCCAAGGCAGGGACAGAGGTCAGGGGTCCCTGCTGTGGGTGTGTGCATGTCGCAGGGGGAGGCTGAGTCAGGTCTGACCAGAGGTGATACCTGATCTTGGCTGAACTCTGTGGTTAGGGTCACAAGTCTCTATTTTGTCACTACCAACTTCCAGGTTCAAATTCCAAAGCCCAGTGAACAAGTTCGCCCAGATCACTGAGTCTAAAACCAAGTTTACCAACTCCTGGGTATCCAGCACCTCCCCCTGACCTGTCCCATTTCTAGTAACGAAGTTCTCAAAACCTGCACTACCCCCAGTCCTCTGTCCCCAGAGCCAACCAGGTATCAGGGACGACCCTTCCACATCAACACACTCGGAAAACAGGCCCTTTGCACTGCTCTGGTTCTCTCCCTGCTCCAACTCCTTCCGTAGCCTCTGCTGAATTCGCTTTGCTACCACATCACTGGGATGACAGGGTTCCTCTGCTCAGCAGCCAGCCCTGCAATGCTCCCAAGGTCTGGCCTGGTCCTCAAGGTCCCGCTTCTCAGCGCCCTTCTCTGCACCCAGCTGCCAGCACTCCATAACAAGCTTTCCTACCTTTACCTGCATTTATGGGGAATGCCTTCAACCTGCTAACATCTCAGCAGCCCTCCAGGTCTAATCCAGTTTAGCTACTTCCCACGAGGCCAGCCTTGTCATCCCTCCCAGAGGGAACTGTTCCTCCCTGAACTCTCACGTGTACTTCGAAGTTGTCAGAAAGGAATCATAACACCCCAGGATTTGGAGTTAGTGGTCCTTGGGGGCAGAAAATCGTGGAATCTTGTAGAAGGAGCACCTTCCAGCCATGTGTGCAGCCCAAACAGAGGGCACCTGCTACCTTTCCAAATGGCCCATTCTACTTTTAGAACATTCTTCTCCAGACTACCCTGTGCTTTTGTCTAGGCCCCAGGGCCCTCCCCAAACATCAGCTCCCTCAGACTGCCCAAAGCAGCCTCCTGAGAGCCAACCCCGCCACGTGGCATTCTGGATTCTGCTCCTCTCCTGGTAGTAGTGGACAGCTAGTCATGGTTGTCTAAGCAAGTCCTGGCTGAGCTCACATGGGTGTCAAGCTGGATGCTGGTTGCAAGAATAACTGCGTGTGTGTGTGTATGTTTGTGTATTGTGAGGCAGAGGCACTGGGTCCTACAGAACATGATGAAGTGGACCCAGCACAGATCAAGAGCTAGGAAGCCAAGTGAGATCCGGGTCCTGCCACGTCTGGGCTCTGGGCTGGCCACTGCACCTGTCTGCCCTGGGATCCTGATGCCACTCCCAAGGGGGACGGAGCACGAGAGCTCCAAGTTGCTTAGGCATCTACCACTGCGCTGCTGTCACGTTCTACCTGCAGCAACCTTAAGCCTACAACAGAAGCCTCACCATCAAGGAAGGGGTCCTGGGGCATCGTGGTAAGGTGCTCAGCAAGCAGACCAGGTGTCATGAGACCCCTACCCTTTCACTGTGACGAGGACAGATCCCAGCACGCCCATAGTGTTCCAGCACGGTTCAGTCTGGGAGGTCAGCACTGAACAACGCCTGTCTGCTCTTTATTCAACCAACACTTACAGTGGACAGCCTCAGTGCAGCTCTGCCAGGGACTGGGGACACACGGGTGAAGAGTGCATGCTCCCTGCTCCAAGGCTGCCAGGGGAGGGAGCAGACAAGTGTGCGTATGAAGACAACATAGTGTGGTAAGTCCTAGCCAACCACAAGAAGTGCTAACAGGGAGACAGGACACATGTCATCTCATTCAGTCCTCCAGACTGGCCTGGGAGGCGGCCACATCTTCCCCACTCCACAGGCCCAGGATTCAAAGCCCAGTCCTCTCCTGACCCCTGTCCAGCATCTGACTCCCCCGTGTTTCTGCTCCAGCTCAGGTGGCTCCCTACGCTCTCTCCACAACCTTCGCTCCCATCCCTGCCAACTTCCAAGGAGTCTGTTTTCCTCCTAAGACGAGACGAGTCCTGATTCTGGGACAATGTACTTTGGAGGGACAGAGGCAGCCTCCAGGGCAGCTGTGAGGGGCACCAGCTAGTTCTGGGGGTGGGGCAGGAATGGAGGGACTCGCCACCTACCTGGGGCATAGCTCAGCACCCTGACACTGGGCTCCTCTACAGCCAGCACCTGGAACATCATGTCCCGGGCAGCCTTCCCTGCACAGTACAGCGCCCAGCCCTTGAAGGGCTGCAGGGCACACAGCGACGAGATGTTCACCACAGTCCTGCTGAGGCCAGGACTGGCAGGAAACGCCTTCAGGATGCAGGAGGTCAGGCAGAGCATGGAGGTCAAGTTCAGGGCCCAGTAGCTGTTCACTTCAGCTGGGTCACTCAGGTTCACGAAGTTTTTGGACACATCTCCAAGAGTGCCTGAAAAAAGCAGATCTTAGGAATAACCCAGGCAGGTGGGGCTTGTTGTTCGTTCAGTTTGTCCCAAATTTCTTCAGAGGGAAGAAGAATCTGCCCAGCACTTCTGAAGACGTTCCCTCTCTCCTCTTTCTCAGCTCTGTGGACAGACATACGTGGAGAACCCACCCACCCCAAGTTGCAGGCTGGGAGCCACCTGTCTCCTCTGGGGGCCTGTGGAGAACCTTGGGATTCACCCCGGCCGGAGGCAGGCCTCCGCCAGGGGGCGCTGTGCAGGAGCTCCGGAAGGTTCCACAGGGGGCTTTGGGAAAACCGCTGGCTGAACCGTCCGGGCAGGGGTCGCCCCGACGGCACCGGGCCTTCCCTCCGAAGCCCTCGCCTCTCTTGTGACTGCGGCGGGAATACGTAGGATCCGATCATCCAGGCGGGCCCGCCCCCCGCGCGTCTTACCCGCGTTGTTGATGAGCAGCAGCCGCTGCAGCCCCTCGGGCCTGGGAAGCTCGCGGAGGGCGCCGAGCAGCTGCTGCAGGCCGGCCTCGGCGCCCAGGTCAGCAGGCACCCGCATTATGCGCAGGCCGGGCTGCCCAGCGCTCAGCTCGACCTCCAGCTGCCGCAGCGCCTCGTCGTTGCGGGCGTTTAGGACTAGCAAGGAGCCCGGCGCCAGCAGCCGAGCCAGCAGCGGGGCCAGCGCCCGGCCGAAGCCGCGGGAGGCCCCGGTCAGCACGCACACGGCGCGCCCCAGGCCGCCGCCACCCTCCATGCCACCGAGCTGCGCTCGTCTCCGGGACTCTGGACCCACAGAGGCAGCAGGCGGCCGCGGTGGGCGGAGCCGCGGGGGGCAGGGGGCGGTGCCCGGGGCCGGTTCCCCTGGCCGCTAGTGGTGGAAGCGCGGGCGCGCCACGACCCCAGTCAACGCGAGAGGCCGAGAGGTGCGGGCAACCTTAGCCGGGTTCCTGGCGCTGCGGAGTTCGTCGCCCGTCGCGTGCGCATGCGCAGTCGCCGCCGGACCACGCGCTCCGAGTTCCACTCAACTCCGCGCCCGGCTGGTCTCCTTCAGGGCCCGCGGCGGCGCGCGGCGCAGAGCATCCTGGGTACTGCCCGCGAGGGCCCGGGTGAAGCCAACGCACATCCGGGGCCTGCGGCCCCTGCTGGGCCTCGGGGGCCAGGGTTCCCTACGCTCTGATTTGCAGAAGCTTCGTCTGGCAGGACCACTCCCCGCTCCGGCCTCGCAGACTGCGGGGATTCGGCACCCTGGCGGAGTAGTGGTCACTTTAGGCGTCGGAGGACAAGCTGGGGGAAGCGGAGTCCCCTCCACCCATTCCCGTGACATGTATGAGATTCCTGCCATGTGCCAGGCTCTGAAGAAGCAGTCGGGAAGGACGAGAGGATGGGTGACATCCGGCCTCGCCGCCTCTGAAGCTCGCGGGGAGCGGCCGTGCATGGTGCGCTGACCCGCGGAGGGAGCCGAGCGGCGTGGGTCCCACCCTCGCCTGCTGGTGCGTCTTGCAGGTGGTAGTCCAGGGGAAACGCAGCAGCTGGAATCCTTTAACCCGCTCAGCGTCTCCACCGTGGTCCACAGCCCCGAGTTTAGGAGTGTTGAAAAACTCCAGGTGATTTTCACGTGCTGACACGTTTGCGTGTCACTGCAGTAGCAACTGACAGTAACATTTTCTGTAAAGATACAAACACCTGAAAGGTGAGAAACGTGTGGAAAAGCCCAAATCTGATACAGGGTATTAGTGGAGGAATTGGTACGATTTGAATACAGTTAGTTGTTGGCATTGCATTTTTCCTGATTTTAACCAGCAAACTGTTACATAAAAGAAGTCTTTGTTTTTGAAGGTACAGGGATGTATTTAGAAGTAAAGGGGCATTTCATCTGCAACTCACTCTCAAATGTTTTAGGATGAAATCAAGTGGATAAAAAAAGAATTGTAATATGTTAACATTTAGGAAATCTGGATTAAAGGTGTACAGGAGTTCTTTGTACTGTTTTAGCTTAAAAAAAAAAATTAAAACTCTAAGGTGGACGTTTAGTCCAGCAGTTAAAACTGTGCTTAGGATGGCTCCTTCTCCTAACTCCAGCTTCCTCCTAATTGCAGACCCTGGGAGGCAGCAAGCAGGTCAAGGCTCCAGTCATTGAGTTCCTGCCACTCCTGTGGGAGATCTGGACTTAGTTCTTGGCTTTGGGCTTAGACCCTGGCCCAGTCCATTGCTGCCCTTTGGGCAGTGAGTGGGTGAATGGGAGTGCTCTCTCTCACTTTCTGCCTTTTCTTCCACTCCCACCTCTCAAGCAAATAAGTGATTTAAAAATAAAGTCTGAAATTATTTCTAAACAAAAGCAAAAAAATGAACCATACTCAGAATTAAATAATAAAAAGACAAAACAATTAAGAAGTAGGCAAAGGGGTCAGTTCTGTAGTGTAGTGGGCTAGGCCCCTGCCTGCGGCGCTGTTATCCTAAATGGGTGCAGGTTTGTGTCCCAGCTGCTCCTCTTCCAATATGGCTCTCTGTTTTGGCCTAGGGAAGCAGTAGAAGATGGCCCAAGTGCTTGGGCTCTTGTTCCTGTGTGGGAGAGCTGGAGGAGGCTCCTGGCTCCTGGCTTCAGATCCATTCAGCTCTGGCTGTTGTGGCCATTTGGGGAGTGACCCCACAGATGGAAGACCTTTCTCTCTCTGTGACCCTGTCTCTCAAATAAATAAATCTTTTTTTAAAAAGTGGGCAAAATAAATAGGAATTTCTCCCAAGAGGATACACAAATAATTAATGAACACTGAAAATATGTTGATCATCATCCGCTGTCAGCAAAGTGCCAATCCGAACCACAGTGAGGGGCAGGTTTTGGCACAGTGGATAAGATTTGCTTGGGACACCTGCATTTCATACAAGAGGGCCTGGGTTCAGGTCCCAGCTCAACTTCTGATTCCAATTTCCTACTAGCATGCATTGTGGGAAGCAGAAATAATGTCTCAAGTACTTGGGTCCCTGCCACTAGTGTGGGAGACACAGATTGAGCTCCTAGCTTTTTTTTTTTTAAGATTATTTATTTGAATGTCAGAGTTACACAGGGAGATGGAGAGGCAGAGAGAGAGAGAGAGAGAGAGCGAGAGCACGTGAGAGAGAGATGTCTTCTATCCTGTGTATCACTTCCCAGTTGGCTGCAATGGCCAGAGCTGCAGCGATCCAAAGCCAGCAGTCAGGAGCTTCTTCCAGGTCTCCCATGTGGGTTCAGGGGCCCAAGGACTTGGGCCATCTTCCACTACTTTCCCAGGCCACAGCAGAGAGCTGGATTGGAAGTGGAGCAGCTGGGACTCAAACCAGCGCCCATATGGGACGCCAGCACTGCAGGTGGCTGCTTTACCTGCTATGCCACAGCGCCATCCCTGAACTCCTAGCTTTTGATTTTGGCCTGACCCATCCCTGCTGTTGTGGGCATTTGGGAATGAACCAGTGGATGGAAGATGCCTCCCCTCCCCTCTGCTTTCTCCCTCCCTCCCTCTCCCCCTCTCTCTCCCTCCTCCCCCCCTCCCTCTCTCCTGCTGTATGTCTCTACCTTTTGAATTAAATAAATAAATAAAAATAAACCAAAACAAAATACCATTTCACAACCATTAGGATGGCTAGAAACTTAAAAAAACAAATAATAATAAGTGTTAGTGAGGATGAAGATGTGAGGAAATTGGCACTCATACGCTGCTGGTAGGAATGTAAAATGGTGCAGCCACATAGGAAAAGAGTAACAGTTTGTCAAAAGCTGAAACAAGTTACTGTTTGGCCCAAAATCCCACTCTTGGGTGTATACTTAATGTAGCAAAAATGTATGTTCACACAAAATGAGAATGCTTCTGTTCATCATGAATACTTGGATTGGCGTTATAATAGGAAGCAGTGAAAGCAAATAGAACATTCATCAGCTGATGAATGGATCAACTGTGCTGTATCCGTGGAAGACTACTCAGCACTGAAAGAAAATGAATTACTGACACAAGCTACAAAGCAGGTGGTTCTTGTGAATATTATGCTAAAAGAAAAGAGCCAAAAGATCACATGTTACATGATCCCATTTATGTGAGATGTTCAGAATAGGCAAATCTATGGAAACAAAAAATATGTTAGTGTTACTTGGGGCTAGAATTGGGGAGTGACTGTTCATGAGTATTGAGTTTCTTTTGGAACTGATGAAAAAGCCATCTTCCTTGTATTGGTGGTTGTACAATTCTGTGAATATATTAAAAACATGGAGTTATATAATTTAGTTTTAAATATTTTGATATTTAACTTTAAAATTTATTAATATATAGAAAACAGATTGCATAGATATGAGTCCAAGAATATAGTGGTCCCTCTATTCTTTTCTTTTGATTTTTTGCAATAACAATCTTAATTTTCTTTATAATCACAGGCTCAGTGCTCCTGTAAACAAAGCTCTACAGATAGAAGGTGGAAAGACCACTGTTTCACTTTGGAATAGACAACAGTTAAAGACAACAACCAAATCACAAGATGACGGCTTCATATACATGAAGGTTATTTTTTTTACTCTATATATTAGCTACTATAAACCAGAGAAAACATGTGGTATTTGTCTTATTGGATCTGGCTCACTTCACTAAGCATAATGGTCTTCAGCTGCACCCATTTTGTTGCAAAAGACAGAATTTTATTCTTTTTTATGGCTGAGTAGTATTCCAATTGTATATGTACCCCAGTTTATTCAGAAATCAGTTGGTGGACATCTGGGTTGATTCCATTTCTTACCTATTGTCAGTGGAGCTGCTATAAACATGGGGATATGGATAACTCTTCATATGCTGATTTCATTTCCTTTGGACGTATTTTCAGGAGTGGGATGGTAGAGTCATATGGTAGATCAATTTTCAGATTTTTGAGGAATTGCCATACTATGTTCCATAATGGTTGTATTAGTTTACATTCCCAACAGCAGTTTATTAGGGTACATTTTCTCCACATCCTTGCCAGAATTTATTACTTTTGATTTTTGGATGAGAGTCATTCTAACTGGGGCGAGGTTAAACCTCATTGTGGTTTTTATTTGCATTTTTCTGGTGACTAATGATCTTGAACATTTTTTCATGTGTCTGTTGGTCATTTTATATCATTCTTTGAAAAATGTTTGTTCATGTCCTTAGCTCTTTTTTTTAAACTGGATTGTTTGTTTCATTGTTGTTGAGTTTCTTGAGCTCCTTATATAACCTGGATATTAATCCTTTATCAGATGCGTAGTTTGCAAATATTTTCTTCCATTCTATTGATTGCCTCTTCACTTTGTTGAGTGTTTCCTTTGATGTGCAGAAGCTTCTTAGCTTGATGTAATCCTATTTGTCTATTTTTGCTTTAATTGCTGTGTTTCTGGGGTCTTATATAAGAAGACTTTGCCTATGTCAACGTCTGCATTATTTCCCCCTTTTTTCCTCTATAATTTGATGGTTTCAGGTCTCAGGTTTAGATCTTTGATCCATGCAAGTTGACTTTTTTATAGAGTGTGAGGTAAGAGTCTATTTATACTTCTGCATACTTCCCAACACCACTTGTTGAAGAGACTGTCTTTTCTCCAGGGCGTGATTTTAGCTCATTTGGGAAAGACTAGTTGGTTGTATATTCATGAATTAATTTCTGGAGTTTCTAATCTGTTACATTGGTCCGCATATCTATTTTTGTGCCAATACCAGGTTGTTTTGCTTATAACTGTCCTGTAGAATGTCTTCAAATCTGGGACTGCCTCTGGCTTTGTTTTTATTACTTAAGATTGATTTAACTCTTCAGGGTATCTTGTGTTTCCATATGAATTTTTTGGATCATTTTTTATAGATCTAAGAAGAAATTCCTTGGCATTTGGATTGGGGTTGCATTGAATCTATAAATTCCTTTGGATAGTATGGACATTTTGATATTAATTCTTGCAATCCATGAACATTAAGGATTTTTTCCAATATTTTGTGTCTTACATTTCTTTCTTAATATTTTGTAATTTTCATTGTGGAAATCTGTCACATCTTTGGTTAAATTTATTCCAAGGTATTTAATTTTTTTGGATAGCTATTATGAATGGAACTTATCTTACAAATTCCTTCTCAGCCGTTCACTATATTCAAATGGTATTGTTTGTGTATTCAAATGGTATTGATTTGGGGCCAGCGCTGTGGTGTAGCAGGTAAAGCCACCACCTGCAGTGCTGGCATACCATATGAGTGCCAGTTTGAGTCCTAGCTGCTCCAGTTCTGATCCAGCTCTCTGCTATGGCCTGGGAAAGCAGTGAAAGATAGCCCAACTTACAGGGTCCCTGCATCTGCATGGGAGACCTGGAAGAAGCTCCTGGCTCCTGGCTCCTGGCTTCAGATTGGCATAGCTTTGGCCATTGCGGCAATTGGGAAGTGAACCAGCAGATGGAAGACCTTTCTCTCTCTCTCTCTCTCTCTCTCTCTCTCTGCCTCTCCTTCTCTCTTTGTGTAAGTTTGACTTTCAAATAAATAAATAAATCTGTAAAAAAAAACACAAATGCTACTGATTTTTGTGTGTTGATTTTATATCCTGCAACTTTACCAAATTCTCTTATAAGTTCCAATCGTCTCTTCATAGAGTCTTTTGGTTCCCATAAATAAAGGATCATGTCATCTGTGAACAGGGATTATTTGATTTCCTCCTTTCCAATTTATATCTCTTTGAATTCTTTTTCTTGCCCAGTGACTCTGGCTAGTACTTTTAGAAATATATTCAATAGTAATGATGAGAGTGGGCATCCTTGTCTGGTTCCAGATTTTAGTGGAAATGCTATCAGCTTTTCCCTATTCAACATAATGCTGACTGAGTTTGTCATTTATTGCCTTGATTGTGTTGAGGTTTGTTCCTTCTATATCCGATTTGCTTAAAGATTTTTTTATCATGAAAATTTTGTATTTTATCAGATGCTTTCTCTGAATTAAGGTGATGCTGGCCTCATCAAAGAAGTTTGGGAGGATTTCTTCCCTTTCAATTATTGTGAATTGTTTGGAAAGAGTTAGGATGAGTCATTCTTTAAAAGTTTAGTAGAATTAAGCAACAAAACCATTTGGTTCTGGGATTTTCTTTTTTGGGAGGGTCTTTATTACTGATTCAGTCTCCATCTTGATTATTGGTCAATTTAGGTTTTTATGTCTTTGTACCCTAATTTTGGTCATATGTATGTGTCCATAAATCTATCCATTTCTTCTAGATTTAGGAATTTGTTGGCATATAACTATTTGTAATAATTCCTGATGATTGTTTTCTTATTTCTGTGACTTCAGTTTACAGCATATCCTTTTTCATCTCTGATATTATTAATTTGGTATTGTTCCACCCATTTTTTTGTTAGTTGGGCCAATTTTTTTATTTTTTAAAAGAAAGTTCATTTAGTGGTAATATACATTTTGTAATAAAATTGTAGTGAAGTACTGACATTTGATAGTTTAAACAAAGTATCATTCATGTAAAAATCATATTATAGCATGTAAAATTTAATTAGAAAAATTCATAGATCACAAAAGTGCGTATAGTTTATTGATAGTTTGAGAGCATTATCATAAATTTACTTAAGATACAGAATAGAATTCAGTTAGGCTTGGCTGGCGCCGCGGCTCACTAGGCTAATCCTACACCTAGCAGCGCCGGCACACCGGGTTCTACTCCCAGTCAGGGCGCCGGATTCTGTCCCGGTTGCCCTCTTCCAGGCCAGCTCTCTGCTGTGGCCCAGGAGTGCAGTGGAGGATGGCCCAAGTGCTTGGGCCCTGCACCTGCATGGGAGACCAGGAGAAGCACCTGGCTCCTGCCATCGGATCGGCGCAGCGTGCCGGCCGCGGCAGCCATTGGAGGGTGAACCAACGGCAAAAGGAAGACCTTTCTCTCTCTCTCTCTCTCTCTCTCACTGTCCACTCTGCCTGTCAAAAAAAAAAAAAAAAAGAATTCAGGTAGGCTTGACATTTAGAACTATAAATTATACACTGGATCCACTGGCATTTTTGTTAATAAAGTACATTGTAAATATTTGATTCAGACTACCAATACATTGCTGTTTTATCATATAACAAAGGTCTACTGGTTTTACAGTATGTCTAATAATAAATTATTTCACCAACAATTAAAGTGACAAAGATCTAGTTGAAAACACCACTGACAAATACCTTTAACAGGATAATTAAAATAAAAACACTAATAGCTTTTATTTCCATTCTCATGAGTACATACAAGATAAATGCATATTTTACAGTTAAAATTTGTAGAAAAGTCAAGCCCTGAAGAATTTTTCCCCAAGAGAAAGGTTCTGATGTTAGAACTTTGTTGAGAGCGAGAGAGAGAGGAAAGATTTTACTTAAAATGTTGAACCCCTGCACCATTTATATTATAAATGAAATTTAACCTTCTATAGTTAACATTATTTTGCCATTCGAGAGTCAAATTTATAAGACTTACACAGTGTTACAGCTGGAATGCCATTGGAAGACAGTGGTTTATAAATGGAAGGACTTCAGTGAATTCAGCAGAAAGTACTTTGTACTACATAACCTTGTGCAGTCAGATGAGTTTACTGAGAATGTGCTTAGTGGTACCGTGAATAAAACACATTGAGTATTCTAAGTGATCTTCATTTCATCAAGACTTTACTTCATATATTTCACCATAGAAAATATCCTTCAAAGCAGAGTCATTTGAATCTTAGCTTCAATAGCCCACCATTGTTGTAAAAAATTCATACTAGTCATATCATAAATTTAATAAATAACTCTGCATAAGCCATTGGGAACTTATGTATTTCATCACACTCTGCACATCTGTATACAGGCCTACGGTGGTGCTGTGCACAGCATACAATGAAGCAGGCAAGGAGTGAACGTTAGCAGCTTTACTCTCAACTTGTTCTAAGTGGATGCACTGGAAAGTAATAGATAGCCTCATAAAGTTAATGATGATAGACTCTACCATAGGTGAACACTACATAATTTTCATAAATATAGGCTGTGTTACTAGAAATCTCATGAAGAAAAACTTAAATTTTTTGTACAAAAAGTGCACAAGTTTTCCAAGGTGTAAAAACATCTAAATCTGGGTGCTTTTCTTCTTTTAAATTTTTTTTTTGACAGGCAGAGTGGACAGTGAGAGAGAGAGACAGAGAGAAAGGTCTTCCTTTGCCGTTGGTTCACCCTCCAAAGGCCGCCGCGGCCAGCGCGCTGCGGCCGGCGCACCACGCTGATCCGATGGCAGGAGCCAGGTGCTTCTCCTGGTCTCCCATGGGGTGCAGGGCCCAAGCACTTGGGCCATCCTCCACTGCACTCCCGGGCCACGGCAGAGAGCTGACCTGGAAGAGGGGCAAGCGGGACAGAATCCGGCGCCCCGACCGGGACTAGAACCCGGTGTGCTGGCACCGCAAGGCAGAGGATTAGCCTAGTGAGCCGCAGCGCCGGCCCAGGTGCTTTTCTTAATCCAAAAAATCCATACCACTAGACTACATTAAGAGGAGGGCCAATGATTTATCAGTTTTGTTTATTTTTCTTTT